TCCTCCTCCATCCCCTCCTCCTCCTTCCCCTCCTCCTCCATCCCCTCTCTTCCTCCATCCCCTCCTCCATCCCCTCTCATCCTCCATCCCCTCGTCCTCCTTCCCCCCTCCTCCTCCATCCCCTCCTCCTCCATCCCCTTTCATCCTCCATCCCCTCCTCCTCCATCCCCTCCTCCTCCATCCCCTCTCGTCCTCCATCCCCTCCTCCTCCATCCCCTCTCATCCTCCATCCCTTCTCCTCATCCCCCACCTCCTCCCCACTCTGGTCTCCCTCCTCTTTGACCTCCCATGACCCTCCCCCCGAGAGGTGCACTGCACCCCTCTACCTCTCCGGACACCTCCCCAGAGCCAGGACCCCGCTCACCTTCAGCAGGAGTTTGCGGGAGGCAGTAATCTTGGGTTTTCTCTGAGGAGAAAGAGGAGGAGATATGGGTGAGGTGGCGGCTATAGAACCAGAAATCTGGACCAGGCCGGGATGAGCGCCAGCCTGTCACCATAGAACCAGAAATCTGGACCAGGCCGGGATGAGCGCCAGCCTGTCACCATCCTAACCCAGAATCCTCACCTCAGGGTCCTTTAAAAGCTCATCTTGTGATTGCACCCCTCAGATTCAGAGACTCAGCTCCCTGACCGAGGGGCTGAATCCTGCAAGACACTGCGTGGGTCACAGGGTCTGGGCACCCCCTTCCTCATCTGTGAGTCAGGATGCTGAGACCCACCTTACCCGGTCCACAGAGGGACTACAGACAGAATGAGATGGTGGGTGAGCACCGGCTTCGAACAGCGTGCCGGAGGCACGCGGCCTGGCGCGCTGGGGCAACGTTGTGTCACCAGAGGAGTAAGCCCTGAGTTCCCTCAGTAAAGACGCTCCATCTCTTTAGACGTCAAAACTCTTCTTGATGTCAACACAATCCATGTAAATTGCTCTCAGTTATGCAGACAATATTTTCTCTTCTTATTAAACATGCTTGACATCTCTTGCTGACTAGATACGTCCTAATAGGTCTTGGCCCCGTGGCAGCGTCCCCCAGGGAAGCGAGAGGGGTCTGCTCTATCCCTAACTCCGAGGGCTCCTGTCTCCTCCTGGACACAGGCGGTCAGTTCTCGAGCTACTGGTGAACGCCCCCCATCCCCCACCTGCAGCTACTCTGCGGAGCCCCGGCCACAGCTTGGGTTTGCTATTCTTGTGCGTAAAGAAGAAGCAATCGGCTTTGAGCCGTCCCTGTGGGAGAAAACGAAGGGGCTCTCGTGCCTGGAACCTGCTTCTAATCCAGCTATTCAGGGTGCTCTGTCTTTTCCTCTCCGAAAGCCAAGGGTTTTGCTGTGTGTCCGGTCCGCGTGGTTGCGAGGGAATGGCCTGTTGCTATGTGCCTCACCAGCCGCGGTTTACACTGTCATGCACCCACGGAGATGTCTCACCATCTCCCCACCAACCGGGGGAGATTTTGGCCACCTCGTTGCCCATCAGTCACCAGGGACTCACTTTCATATGAGCCTCAGTGAAACTTAGAGATTCACACGACTATGGAAAAACAGAATCTCTGCCGAGTGTCCCCTCCATCCGTGCTGCTGACTCCCAGCCTGCCAGTCCTGAGTCCACAGCTGCCCAGCTGCAGTCCCCACCCCGGGCGAGGCGGGACGCAGGCTGTGTGTGTCTTCAGCAGTCTAAACAGACCTGGGCTGCATCGGAGGCAGGGCTAAGACCCGAGGGGAGGGCAAGAATCCTGTTGCTCCTCCCTCCGTGTCCGGTGGTGGGCGGGGCTGGAATAACCCACGGATGATTCCCTCCCACCTTTCCAATGTCGATCTACAAGGACAGGACGGCCCCCCAGAGCTGGACGCGCTCTCAGACCCGGTGAGGGAGAACTGCTCGGTGGTCAGCATGGGTGCAGAGTCGCACCGCCTCTGTCTGGTCCCAGCCCCAGGACCACCTTCCAGGGACGTGATGCACTGGGGCGCCCCCTCCCTGGACCTTGAGGAGCCCCACGTCCAGAATCTTCCCCCAAGGTTTATATTCTCCAGGGAATTTGCGCAGCCGCTGAGCACCCCTCCCCAGACCTTGACCCAAGCTCTCTCTCCTCAAATGCCCACCCTACCGCCACCTGTCTAACGTCCGCCAGGACAGAGACACCCCCAGTCTTACTCACCTCGCTGCAGACATCCATCACAGGAAGGCCAGGGTGGGCGGGGGGCGGGGGGGGAGAGCAGAAGACAGAGTGAGTGTGAACAGTGCATAGCATCCGTGCGACAGCAGACCGTGTGGACAGGCTGGGGGAGGGGCGCGGTGACAGCACACCAGAAAGAAAGCAGACAGATGTCGTGCAGGGGGGCCAGTTCGAGCACACGCAGAATAGAACAGAAACCCTCAGGCCCTGTGAGCTACTGGGGGCCCTTTTGGGAGACACGAGCCACTGTACACTGGGGAGGATGGAACCCTCAAGGTGGGGTCCCAGGCTGTGAAAACTTCCTTCCCGGGCGAGTAGGTACCTCCCCAAAGCTTGTTCATCTACTGGGTAACGTTAAATCATGGCCTGGGGCTTGTGATCCATCCATTTGATCAGTGCAAACAAACTCTGAGACACAGGCCAAGAGGGTCTTCCAGCAACAAACTGAGAGCCAGTTCTGCCCAAAGCCTGGGAGGACACGTGGACCCTGGGGACCCCGGCTCTCAGGACTGTGCCTGTTTTAGGATCTGGTCTCCCGGGGAACTGCTTCAGGGACCGAACAGATGGTCTGAAATCTGCAGCAACGGCGCATGCCTTCCTGGGCCCCGCGGCGGGGTCAGGGGGGCGGGGAGGTGGGCCCCGGGGCGGGGCTGGGGGGGCGGGGAGGGGGGAGGCAATACTACTTACACTTCCGGCATGGCGGCGGTGGGGCGGCACCTGGGGCAGAAGGAACCATGGATGAGGGAGAGTTACAGTTCCTGCCCTCACCCCGACCTGGCTGGGCCGTGGGGCTGTGTCAGCCGCCCAGCCTGGGAAAGAAGGTCCGATAGCAGAAAGGAGAAATCAGACGTATCGCCTTCCAGTGGGTCAGGATGGGGTAAATACTTGTCCGTTTACTCTTTTCTCTCCATTCATTTACTCACTCATTCACAGGGGAGAGAAACCTTACAAAGGCAAAGAAACAAGATGAGAATCAAAAGTGGTTCTGCTGGGCAGGTGTGTAGGACCAGGATCTGCAGACTACAGCTCACAGGCCAGGACTGGACTGTTCGCTTAAAAGACGGTAAAGCAAAGAAGACTATGCGACAGAACCTCATGTAACCTGCAAAGCCTAAACTATTTCCTAGCTGGCCCTTTCCAGAAAACATTTGCCGACACCTGTGGGGAACAGAGTGGGATACACAGAAAATGCATTTGGAGTTGGGGGGTGGGTGCTCGCTCACGGGGCCCCGAATGACAGGGTGAGGCAGACTGTCCTGTGGGCAGTGGGTGGTCATGAAGGTCTGAGAGGGCAGGGTCTGGAACAGTGAGTGCAGGCCACAGGAAGCCACCACACGGCACACCGCCAGGGGGCGCCATTCACGGGGATGGTGATGAGCTGGGACCGGTCCGTGAGGGGCCCTGAGGGGGGTCAGGCCAGGAGTCAGGGCAAAACCCCGTGTCCCACTCTGGTCTTCACCCTAACCCTCCCCGGGCCAGCTTTTCCCTCTGCAAAATCAGGGGTTAGAGAACTTGTTTTCCATTTAATATTTGGTCTTGAACCCTTTGTTCAAAGCAAGTCCAATCAATAGAGCGGCTGGCCCTGGTGGAAGGGGCGTTAGCCCAGGACCCCCATGCTCCTCCGTGAGGTCCTGCGCCCGTGGAGCACAGTATGAAGCCCCCTGACCTGTGTGACCCTGGGACCCCTTTTAGTCCGAGAGTCTGGGGCTCAGACGGAGGAGGAGGTCCTCGAGCCGTAGAGGGGGATGCCCCACAGCCAGGCCTGACCACCCTCTGGCCCGGGCTGGACAGCATTCCAGTGCAGGAGGTGGGCACTGTGCCAACGACACGGGGAGGGAGGGGCACGGCTGGGGTGGGAGCCGGTGTGCGGGCGGGGGTTGGGAGCCCGAGCTGGGTTATGAAGTGAAGGATCAGGGAGGGGGTGGAGCCAGGGGAGAGCTGAGCACAGGGCCAGGGGTTTGGATCTGGTCCAGAGCCTGGTGTGGGTAGGGGCAGGCTGACCCTGAAGGACACGTGCCAAGTGGCCACCGTCACCTCCTCCAGAGCCGCCTCCGCCTCTGCCTCGACGCCACCCTTTCCCCTCCTGCTGGGAAGCCTGGGTGGGGCTCAGCCACCCCGCCTGAATCTCCCATCCGAAAGCCTTAACCACGCCCCATCTGCCGCCGCCTCGGGGGTGGGGGGAGGGCGAGGCCCGGTGGAGGGAGTGTGACCCAGAGCTTCAGCTGTCACCCTGGGGCACAGAGGGGAGTAGAAACAGTCCACACATTCCCGAGATGCTTGGCTGCAATTAGATTTTATCGCCAGCTGTTTATTCTAGGGCCGCACTCCTCTGAAGACACCGAGGAGGTCCAGAGAGGAAGGGCAGCTGGGGAAGAGCCCTCCCCACCCCCAGCCCCCGCAGCACGGTCCCCGGGGGCACAGATCTCACTGAGGAGGGACGTGCTCGTCCTCGGTCGGGGGCGGGGCTGGGGGTGGGGCCTCCGGCCATGTCCACACCCCCTAGACAGCCGCTACCTGTCCGGCCAGGCCAGGCGTCCTGCCGAGCTCCGGGCCCGCCCCCGGCCCGCCCGCTGACAATCACCAGGCCAAGCGGTCCCAGCCTTGCGCTGACACCCACCAGACGGGACCCCTCGACAGGTCCCCTGGAAGACAAGCAGAGACAAGATAAGAACTCAGGATGAGGCGGGCAGCTCAGAGGGTGGGAGAGCCGCGCTCCCGGCCCCCAGCAGCAAGAGGGAGATAACGGGACCCACAGTGGGAGGTGGGGGTCCCTGGGCTGCCCTCCCCCAGGCCCCATGGGTGGGACAGGCCAGCCAGGCTGTGAGACCGAGACTGAGGCTGTGTGTGGGCCTGTGTGTGTAAGCGTGAGTGTGTACGTGACTGCGTGTGAGCAGGGATGTAAGCGTGAGTGTGTACGTGACTGCGTGTGAGCAGGGATGTAAGCGTGAGTGTGTACGTGACTGCGTGTGAGCAGGGAAGGGACCACAAATTGCTACTCAGGCTTGTGTTCCTCCGCCTGCTCGCCCGCACCCCCATCTTGGACCTCAGTTCAAGGGCATCCCGCTCCTCCCTGACTGGCTGCTGACAAGGCTTGTGCTCCCAAGGCTGCAGTTGTGGACCCCCCAGCGCCCTGAGCTCTGAACAGGAAAGCCCGCCCACCGCTGCTGGGGACAGTCTCCCGGCCCCGCCCCCCGTTAGAGAGCCCACCCCGCCCGACACCCTCCCCCTCCACCGCCCCACCCCCGCCTCGGGTCCTCACTGATGTGCTCACAGGCTCTCGAGCTCCCATCCCAGTGCGGTCCCCCCTGCCTTCCCCCAAGAGCCCCCCTTCTGCGCCAGAGCCAGGAGGCTGGCTGGCGCTCTGCCCGCACCTGCTCTGTCCACTGTGCAGACAGCAAAGGGCGCCAAGCGAGTTGTCAAAGACAAAGAACAAAGAGGCAGGACGGCTTCCTTGGTCGGTGGCGCGGGCGTAGGTGCAGCCTTCCAGCCCCCGAGTCCTGCCCCCGCGCCCTCCTTCTCCTCTGACCCGGGCGTCGCCCCCTGCACTGCTCACCAAGCTCCCCCTCAACTTCCAAATGCAGCCCCTCTGCCCCCTCTGGTCCCCAACGCGCCCCTCTCCCTCCTGGGACGGCTGGGCTGCGGTGTGAAAACGATCCTCGAGGCTCTGCCGGGGGCTCCCTGGGCAGCCTGGAAAATCCTGTTCACGGCTCCGAACGGGCAGGGGGCTCACCTCCAGCCACAGTCTTGCAGGGCAGAGGCCGCCCTACGGGACTGAATGCTGTGGGACTGTCTTAGGACCGTCCACCAACAAAC